ATTAATAGTTCCAATTAATTGTTACTCCTCTCCCGTACACAGACCCTAACCCACCCCACCCCACCCAGTCACCCATCTCCACCCGTCCCCAGTTTCTCTCCACCCTAGTTTCCAACTCATCTTCTAACGTTCAAGGAGATGAAAGAGCACGGTCAGCAGAGAAAAATGACAAACGCACGGAGCAGGCAGACGTAATGATGGAGACGGAATGAACAGAAGAAATATGTGGCTAGAGTAGGGATGGCATGCTCACCGACAGCTGAGCAAGACATACAAGAGAGCTGTGAGGCAGGGTCAACTACGTGCAACACTCACATTCAAATTCAAAAACAGGGCACAATAGACTCGGCCGCCGAACTGCTCCCATTTAACTCAGTGGTCTCCCCCAACCCCACGTCAAAAGAAGAAAAAAAAACAATATGCTTTCCTCGTGCTTCAGCTTTTTTTTTTGTCAGTAAACCCTCTATATGTTCTGTACTCATTCTGTCAAGTAGCATTTCATCACCCCCCCACGTTTCATTTAAGGCTGGGTGCGGGTGGGTCCCTTACCCCGTTAACTAGCGAGGGGAGCCCATGGTCAGCCGGCTCCCTCTGCCCACCGGCCAAACCCGCATCCACCGAAGTCATCCACTCGCCCCGTTCGCGAGGGGCGAAGTCCGCTGTCTGAGCTTACACGCTCTCGACACGTACAGGTGTTTCCCTTCAAAAGCAAGAGGAGGAGAAAAACGTCGCAGTAGTCCAAAGGGGTGAGCCCCTGGTATTGGTATAGTCCTTAAAGAGGCATAGGAACCGAGCTGGATGTAAAAAAAAAACACTGCACCGGCTGCCTGACTGTTCTTCTTTTTTTTTCTCCCAGTTCTGTCTCTCTCGCATACACACACAAACACATACAAGACTCCGCTCTTAACACCCTCACACACCTCTCTCACTTCGGCTCCCCGGCCGACTCGTATTCGCAGAGCCAGGCTCAGGCAACAGTTGTTGAATTCATGGCCCCTCCTTTCCCCCCTCTCTCCCTCCCCGTTTTGCAGTCCGTCGCCTAGCAACTGGCTTCTGTGGGCGGGGCTTGTGAGAGTTCTCACATTGCTGCGCACCCTGCACCGGGCTGCCGCCCACTCAGGCTATATTTTGCATATCAAGCCCTTCCCGCCTCAGTCTGTTTCTGCCGTGGCAAGTGCTGGGCCGAGCGGCTGTTAGGAGGTGGGAGTCGATTGCCGAACAGACCATCTTTAGTGATTCAGCAGATTCTACCAAACTGCTTTAAAATATGGAATAGCAAAAAAAAAATAAAACTTAAAACGCATTTGTTCAGAATGGCTTTTTGCACGTAAAATCTCTGTATACTGGGTCCTGTCACCAATGTGTTTGTCTTTGTATATTTCGATAGTTTGATCTGTTTTTATTCTGTAAAGCACTTTGGTCAGCTCCGGTTGTTGTAAAGTGCTACAAACAATGATTGATTGATTGATTGATTGAAAATTGTACAAAATTTCATGACAGAATAAAGGTAGAAGCATCAAATAAAATAAGGGTTTTCGTTGTTTATTTAACTCGGTTTAAATAAGAGCGAAATAAAATCACCTTGAACAAGTACAGTGGGAATAAACCCCTCCTGTTTTTGCACAGTTTAAGCAAAGACGTAACCTGTCTTTAGCCTCTTTAAGAATAAACTGATTAAGGAATTCGCTCAAGGTAATAGACTAATCTCACCGCACTGTTTACAGTCTGAGTGAACTGTATCGTCAGTGCTGCAGAATAACAGCTTTTGCCGGTGTTTTGAGGCGTTATGCAGTTTTATGTAGGCGGTGCCTCAGATAACATTACACCGCCATGCTACAGGAAAAGCACAACAAGAAGTTACTTTTGCCATAACTGTACACATAGTTACGGCAAAAGACAAATTGTATCTGATATCATAGGTCGGATTGTTTAGGCATCATGTGATAAACTGACTGAACACATGCATTTGTTTCAGAGCTGTCATTCAGAGAAGATGCAGTATTGTGCATTTTTGTCTTTTCTGCCCCTTCTAAAACTGTTCCTCAGGTAAACTACCTGTCGTCATCCTAAACCTCCACCTCTGTGTTTTCTACCAAGATATGATAATTGTTTCCAGACTGTGCCACAAGGTGACTGACCAGATTCTTGAAAACAGACACAGTGTTTGTGATCTGGGCATTTTTGTGGGGACATCCACCTTTTTACAGCCTCTTACATAACAAGTGCTGTTATTCTAAAGGCACTGATGAATTCAAAGATGAACTCAACCTGTTCTTTGTTTTCTTGTCCATGCAATTGCTAGCATGCCGAAGCAGGTTGATAGTGATATCATTGACACCATTTTCAGGATGGCAAACAAAAAGTGTATCCTGAAAGTTGTTCCCTTGTTTACTGAGATGGCCAAGCAATTGTTTTTCTGAGACATTAGTAATGTTGGTCTGTAGTCTGAAGGCAGATATATCATTCTGCCCTGTACTCAGTGATAAATTACATTAAGGCAACACCATAAGGATAATAATGTGTAGTTGTAAACAGGAAAAAACTACAAAGCAACACTCTCACAAAAGAAAATAAGACAGAAATTGAATAAAATGTGTCTATCTATCTATCTATCTATCTATCTATCTATCTATCTATCTATCT